ATACACTTTTCCAAACATACAACTGCAAGTTTGCCAGCAACACACTAAGGTGTGTGGTGTGGTTGAGGGAGGGAAGGGATGCCATCCAAAAGGACTTAACAGGCCTGAGAGGTGGGCCCATGTGAACTTGTCAAAAATACAATAGTTTGTTTAGAATGCCTGTGGAAATCTAAGCTAGTTGGATGCTGAGTAGAAAAGATCAATTATTGCAGACCAGAACAGTATCATGTGTATAATTTTTGCACTCATCATTCAGGACAAGTGAGAGTTTGCATATTCTGTAGAAGAAATAATCACCAACTTTTGGCCCAAAAATAAATATGTGTTGACCATCCCTACCACTGTTGTGATCTTTATGTTATGCTTTGATTTTACTTGTTTTAAACTGCACTGTTTCTCTGGAAGTTATGAGTTTTATTTTTTCTGCTTAATCTGATTTGGTCACATTTATTACTGGCTTATTATACCGCAGATTTCAACTATTTTAAACTTACAGACTTCTGATGAATTTTGAATGAGTAAGGATTCCCTGCAGTGAATTAGATCCTACTGACAAAAGCCTTGTTTTTCTTAGGTACCTCTCACGGGCTCTCAGAAATTGCCAACTTCAGTCAAGTTAAAAGGTTAAGCCTCCTGCTGTATTCTATAAAGTCTCTGTTACCATGCTGGAGTCCCCAGATTCTTCCTCTGCTGAGCAGTGAACGATTTATTACCTTGGCATGCTCCCTTCCTTGGTCCTGAGAATTCATGCTATTCCAAAATTAAATGGTTCACGAAGGTCTTCTCTCTGTGGTACAGAAAAGCAAAGCCCTCAAATATATTGTGAATATTTTTGGTAGCAAAGGCAAAGATTCAATTAAAGCCCTGAAGCCCCGAAACCCCAAATCCTCATTGTCAATCATCTTGTGTGCATTTTATCAGAAGGAAGTGTGTTTTTTCTTATGAACTAACATATTTCTCTGTTGAAGATGTTTAAAACTCTGATGTGGAAATCTACTGATGAAGTGCATCCACCTCAGGTGTCATTTATTTTTATTACAGCACCTTTTCCCCACTAGTTTCCCATTTCCATGGTTTTCACTTTTTTTTGAGGGTTGTTTATATTTGGGGTAAGGGATGAAGCACAGTGACAGAAGGAATGGTCCCTGATGTTGCTGAGCATTGGTGACAAGCCCTGGTCCCAGGCAACCCTGGCTGTAGTGGGGCGCATGGGCACCCCTGTTCCCAGCCTTGGGGTCTCAGTGCTACTGGGTGAAGCTACCACCCTGGCTCAGTGTTCCCCAGGATGGGAGGCCTCTTCCTGGTGGGGGTTGAGGCTGAGAGCCCCAGGGACTAGAAGGGAGTTCAGCCAACACTCCACCAGGGCAAGTGGTCTCCCTCACAGGCACGCTGTGCCAGGACCTATATTTAACCTCTGATTTTTATTTCCTTGCCATGATTGCCCATCAGTGCAAAAGATGCTGCTGCTCCAGGGAGGAAGGATGATTCACTTGGGACTGGTGAAACTCCTCTGGAGCATAGGATCATAGAATCAGTTAGGGTTGGAAAGACCTTAAAATCATCAAGTTCCAACCACCCTGCCATGGGAAGGGACACCTCACAATAAACCATATCACCCAAGGCCTCGTCCAACCTGGTCTTGAATACTGCCAGGGATGGAGTATTCACAACCTCCCTTGGCAACCCATTCCAGTGCCTCACCACCCTAACAGGAAAGAATTTCCTCCTTACACCCAATCTAAACTTCCCCTGTTTAAGTTTTAACCCGTTACCCCTTGTCCTGTCACTACAGTCCCTAATGAAGAGTCCCTTCACAGCATCCCTATAGGCCCCCTTCAGATACTGGAAGGCTGCTATGAGGTCTCCACCCAGCCTTCTCTTCTCCAGGCTGAACAGCCCCAACTTTCTCAGCCTGTCTTCATACGGGAGGTGCTCCAGTCCCCTGATCATCCTCATGGCCCTTCTCTGGACTTGTTCCAACAGTTCCATGTCCTTTTTATGTTGAGGACACCAGAACTGCACACAATACTCCAGGTGAGGTCTCACAAGAGCAGAGTAGAGGGGCAGGATCACCTCCTTCAACCTGCTGGTCACGCTCCTTTTGATGCAGCCCAGGATACGGTTGGCTTTCTGGGCTGTGAGCACACACTGCAGCCGGCTCATGTTCATTTTCTCATCCACCAACACCCCCAAGTCCTTCTCCGCAGGGCTGCTCTGAATCTCTTCTCTGCCCAACCTGTAGCTGTGCCTGGGATTGCTCCCACCCAGGTGCAGGACCTTGCACTTGGCATGGTTAAACTTCATGAGGTTGGCATCAGCCCACATCACAAGCGTGTCAAGGTCCCTCTGGATGGCATTCCTTCCCTCCCGGGTATCAACCGAACCACACAGCTTGGTGTCATTGGCAAACTTGCTGAGGGCGCACTCAATCCCACTGTCCATGTCAGAGACGAAGATGTTGAACAACACCAGTGTCCCAACACCAATCCCTGAGGGACACCGCTCGTTACTGGTCTCCAGCCGGACACTGAGCCATTGACCACAACTCTTTGTGTGCGGCCATCCAGCCAGTTCTTTATCCACCGAGTGGTCCATCCATCAAATTGATGTCTCTCCAATTTAGAGACAAGGATGTTGTGTGGGACAGTGTCGAACGCTTTGCACAAGTCCAGGTAGATGACATCAACTGCTCTACCCCTGTCCATCAGTTCTGTAGCCCCATCATAGAAGGCCACCAAATTGGTCAGGCAGGATTTCCCCTTAGTGAAGCCATGCTGGCTGTCACCAAGCACCTTGTTGATTTTCATGTGCCTTAGCATGCCTTCCAGGAGAATCTGCTCCAAGATTTTGCCAGGCACAGAGGTGAGACTGACTGGTCTGTAATTCCCTGGGTCATCCATTTTCCCCTTCTTGAAAATGGGGGTTATATTTCCCTTTTTCCAGTCATCAGGAACTTCACCTGACTGTCATGATTTCTCAAATATGATGGCCAGCAGCTTCGCAACTTCATTTGCCAGCTCCTTCAGGACTCGCAGATGGATTTCATGAGGTCCCATGGACTTGTGCACGTTCAGATCTTTAAGATGGTCTTGAACCAGATCCTCTCCTACAGTGGGTGCAAGGTCTTCATTCTCACAGTCCCTGCATCTGCCTTCCAAGACTTGGGTGGTGCAGTCAGAGCCTTTGCCAGTGAAGACCGAGGCAAAGAAGTCATTCAGAACCTCAGCCTTCTCCAAATCCCGTGTAGCCAGTTCTCTTGAGAGCTTCTGGAGGGGGCCTACATTCTCTCTAGTCTGTTTTTTATTTGCTATGTACCTGTAGAATCCCTTCCTGTTATCCTTAATACCTCTAGCTAAGTTTAATTCTAACTGGGCCTTAGCTTTCCTAACCTGATCCCTAGCTTCCCAGACAACATCCCTGTACTCCTCCCATGCCACCTGTCCTTGCTTCCACTTATTATAAGCCTCTTTTTTCATTTGAATTTTCCTCAGGAGCTCCTTATCCATCCAAGGAGGTCTCCTGGCCCTCCTGCTGCACTTCCTTCTGGTTGGGATGCAACACTCCTGAGCTTGTAGCAGGTGATCCTTGAATATCAACCAAGAGTCTTGGGCCCCCCTGCCCTATAGGGCTATATCCCATGGAACCTTACTAAGCAGGTTCCTGAAGAGGCCAAAGTCTGCTCTTTTGAGCATGCCTGCCTTAGAAGTTGTGTGACAATTTACACCTTCATTATCATTCCAAAGTTTCTTTAAGGTGTTTACTGCACCCGTTTTTCACTGCCCCTTTGCTCAGTGTAGGGATAATATAAGTTGTGACCCTGTGCTGCACAGTTTGTCATAGAGTATGTGAGCAGTGTTGTAGCTTCCTGACATCTCTAGCCCTTTTTCCAAAGCACTGATACCTCTGTGGCTCTCTTTTGTGGAGAGGGTGCCCTTTTTGTTTTCAGTTTTGGTACCGGCTGGACTTGGTTTTTGTCTGGCTTATTGATCCACCACAAGTTTGCGAGCTCCAAGACCGGGAATTGCTTGTTATGGTCCGCAGATAACTGAAATATGTGGCCAAACAATCTATATTACTTTTGAAGTGCTAGGTTTATAGATTTACTTTAGTTTAAGCAATGGAAATAGCCTAGCTGCTTTGAGTTTGATTTTCTTATATTACCTTGAGACCCTTGTGATCAGCTATCACTGGGATATATCTGTAACATCACTTGTCCCTGCTAATGTAAACCCAGGTCCCCTGTATTGATATGAGTCAAAGGTCTGCCTACGTGGTTTTCCAAGAAAGCATGACCATAGTATAGTGTTTTCTATAACTAGTGACAGCCAGGGGGGTGATGTGGCTAGCATCGCATTCGGATGCCTTGGAGTTCCTGGCTTCAACAGATGAGTTTCTATTTATAACTGGATTTATTGAAAATGGCCTTTGGCACCAGTACAGCTCAGAGCTTGGACTTTGGTCTTTGAATCTGAGGGGGACAACCCTCTCAGTCTCCTATCCCCTGCCTCTTCCCTGCACAAAACAGCAGCCACATTAGGGAGCCATGGAAACAGCTTATAACATCCTGCTACATGTGCTACTGTCATTGGGTGGATCCATTCATTAAAAACCAAATCACAGCCCCTTGCTTCATTCACCTTGGCACACAAGAATGTGTTTCTTCTTTACCTTTCCTTGACTTGCCTTACTCCTGATGGGAACAATCTGTTCCATATACAGCAATCTGAAATTATGAAGTATTGTTTTATACTGCCTAATGTTTTGGGTTTTTTTTAAACCTCATTTTTTTATGTTCTTTTGGGGTGGGGGATGGAAGGTCACACAAACCATGAAAATTAAATGTCAGTATTTACTTGGCTCAAAGAAGTTCTACAAATCTTCCTCTGTTGCCATCTTAGATTTCTGGATGGTGCGACATTTTTTTTTTGCTGCATCTGTGTTTTTGTGTGGTGTTTCCATTTACAGTCTTTGAAAAAGCATGTTTTTTTTCTCTTTTGCAGTGAACATTTCTGTTTGACATGACATAGCAATTCTGCACCAATGGTGCTTGAAATAGGCGAGCATTTAAGATTGATAGATATTATATGGTTTACCGCTGAGTATGCACTGCACACCAGCCAAGGCAATGGGACACCGTGAGTGTTGAACAGATTTAGGAAATGACTAAGCCTCTCTCCCAGGCTTATGTGTGCAAATGGTCTCTTTTTAACTTTGGACTCCAAAGTCAAATATGCCAATTCACATTTCTTCCCTTACTTCTTTTTCTATTTTTCAGCTACATGATTTACAGGAACAAAGTGATCTGATAATCCTCAGGTTTTTCTCTTACTGGAAATTGTGTAAGTTCTTTTACTATCCTTTCTCCTGCCACTGCAGTAACTTTTCCATAGGTTATTATTACAAACATACTTTACAATAAAGTAATGAGTAACACAACACAAACACATCCATTCTCTTAATTAAATGAGCTACAGCTTTTTGGCTGAAACAAACAATAATATTATTTATAACTCAAATTACATTATGTAAACTGTGCTCTCACCTATAAAGGAGTATAAATGGCATGGTAGGGTTCCATATTTGCTTTTTTCAATTTCTTTTCCCAAATGACTTTCCTGTTGACCTCTCTTTTAATTTACAAATAAAACCACGACTTTCTTGACTGCCAGCACTGAAAATTCACCCTGGGATCTGAGATCAAGCTGTGTTCTTTCTGCTTCATGCCAAAATAGACTCCAGTTCACCTCCACAGCACTGACATGGCTCTGCAGGGCTGGCAGGAATGAAAAGCAATAACAGTGCTTTTGCCAGTAAAAAGATGAAGTGAACAAATTCTCTCAGAAGTAGGAAGATACCAATTTTCAAGTCAGCTTTATAGGAAACAGCTGTTTGAAACAAATGCTTGTAGCAGAGCTGGGGTGGGATATCTTACTGCTTAACATTCCTTTGCAACCTTCGTTCACTTTTCCCCTTTGGTCTTTCCAGCTCAGCTTGTGGATAATTCAAGCTGAGGTGCACAGCCTTTTTCCCTGGTGACAATGATGGTCTCAGGTGTTTCTGCCCTCTTCTAATTGTTTGCATCCCTACAGTTATGTTGGTACTGGGCTGCTCTGGGCATTAGTTGGAGTGGACTTTTGCAGAGATCCCCAGGCTCATCCCTTTGGAGCCAGGTCCCAACACAGCTCTGTGAACAGTTGTGCTGTCAGGCATATAGGCTACCCTTCTACTTCTGTATTTGGGGGGCATTAGGTGAAGTATAGGGAAGGCAGTTTTCTAATTGCTTTTACCCAGTCCTGGTCCAAGGTTAACATTCAGCCAGTTCTTTGCACTTAGATGTAAGACCTTCCAAAATTTCTGGTTTTGAAATTCAGTCTTCCATTTTGTAGTTGGCAAATAGATCTTTGCAGTGAGAGTCTGATGGATACAGAGTTTGGAACAAAGTATGAAGACAGCTCTGAATGACCATCTTCCTTTGGCAGCTGAGCGTCTCTGTGGGGCTCAGGCACCAACATGCACTCAGACATAGGCATCTAGAGCTCTCCTGCCACAGAACCCATCGTAGGAGAAGTGCTTCCTCCTTGCAAGGGCAGGAGTTTACACAGGGCACTGAAATGCAGGCAGAACAGAGAGGGTGCACTGCCTGACAGCAGTCCAAAAAGATCCAAACAGGAACTGCTCTAGTGGTTTCCAGAGGCTGCAATTATTCCTGCTGCCAACCAGGAGGACTGGGGCTCTCGAAAGGTGGGAGATACTCTGTCAGAAAAATGGTAACAGGTGAGGCCAGGCAAAGACAAGGGTTTTTCCAAAGCCATATGTGAAACCCCTTCCCTGGGCTTCAATAGGTCTCAGGACTCTTGGCAGAACCCACAATCAGCTGCTTAAACCTGTAATTCACCATTTTATTTGTCATTTATTAAAGAGGATAGAGAAAAGGAAATGATGCATAAGACTGCTGTCCCTGGAGCTCTTTCAGGCTGTGGACCATAAAATCCCAAATTCAAACTCTGGGAAACATTTGGCTAAGGTTTTAGTTCTCGGGATAATGAAGAGAAGGCAGGAAAATGACCATGTGAAGTCCACGGTGACCTGCCAATGCCTGGATTGTCAGCTGCTCAGCATCGCCCTCCTCTCCTGTCCTGTGAGCCCACATGCCGCCGATCCCTCTGAGAGCACTAAGCTTGTTGTTCAGTGCAGCAGCATTCCTTCTGTGGAGGCTGATGAGCACTGAGATGCAAAACTACCACTACTGTCTAAGGGGACGGTTTTAACAGGAGAAGAAACACTGAGCCATGGGCAATGTGCACTGGCATTTACAGCTCCTTCTCCTGACGTGTCCTCTGTGAAATCTGATTCTCTGTACTGCCTCCTTGGGTTTAAGGAAACACAAAGTTAGTGGAACCTGATTTTTGATCTTATATGTAATTTGGCCCACTGGATATGAACTGACACGTAGACTAGGAGAAAAGGAAGATAATTACAAAACCAGATTAAAATAGCTTCCAAACAAACCAGAGATTTATGCAGAATTTCTTCTAGAAGACTCTTGTGCTTGCTTTGGCTGGGATGATGGACCTTTTTTTTTTTTTTTTTTTTTTTTAATACAATTTTGTAGACAGACTATTTCTGCAAATATGTGGTTGAGACTTCATTTAAATAACCACACCAATTTGAATATGCACTTTTTTCTGCCTGAGGGGTAAACATGTGCACATGGTAGAAAATGTATTTGTGACACTGAACTCCTGTAAAACTCTGCTTCCCCACCAGCCACCACCAAAAAAGTTAATTCTTTTTTAGGAATAAAAACAAATGCATGGAAGTAAAGACATTCACAGTTCACATCAACTCTTAGATCAATTCAATTCGTTTATGTATTACAGCATCTGCTGCAGGTTATGTAAGTTCTGTTGCAAAAACTTGTGATATCTGATGAATAAAGGACAAAGTCTCAGTTTAGTTTTGAATTTTCAGGGCTTAGTGAATTCTGCTGTAACTCCCTCCCGGGTCTTACTGCTCCAGTTGGTTCATTGCAGATTATCTCTCTCTGTGATTAATGGCAAAACTACTGCCACTGAGTGCCTTTGAGGTTGCAACCCTGTGTGTTAGGTGCTGTAGAGTAATCAAAGGACGTTCCTTGGGTCAAAGTGCTAAAATTCACCTAGCAGTTAACAGGCAAATGTGGTTTTGAATTATGTGAACTGCTAGATTACATTATTAGAAACAACCTTTGCATTTTATGAGTTGTCAGTCATTTAAATTATAAAAATGATCCCCAGAATCAAAATTCCATCCTTAGCTCCATTTTTAATATGCACACTATATGGACATTCATTTTGACATCACACAAACTAGTTAGTGATCAGAAAGCTTGATCCTGTTCATTTGATTTGGATGAGTAGTCTCACTGGGGTTAACTGAAGTGCTCATAAGAATAATATGGGCATGGTTACTTAGTTCTTGTTTAGATGATGCTAAATCATTTGATTAACCCCATTTTTTTTCCCTGAAGGCCACAGATAAGACAAATTAACTGGGACTCACAAATATCCAGTTATGATCTAATGCAAATTGCATACATTCCCAAGGAGAAAAAGAAAAATAAGAAGTTTCTTTTAACATGAAGAAGTTGCTGTTTTAAATATCAGAGTGAAGTCAGAGTAGTGCTACTGGATTACCATCATTAACTAGGCCAACTTTATAAATCCTCTGAAATATGAAGACAAATTGCATTCAGAAATTAATTGGATTCTGCATGAGTATTAAATATTTTGCATTCATTACTTTTCCTGAGGACAAATGAGTGTGTGCTCATTTAATTAAATAATGCATATTGTTACATACTTGAGAATATGCACAAGAGATTAAAGGTTATATGGACAAACCAATTGTGACACTTCTTGACTTCTTAGCTCTTGAGCTGGCAATTAAAACACTATATCCCTTGCACAGGTAAAATGCATTTTGGGAAGACAGGCAACGTACAGTCCATCACTGCTCTTTATTTCATGGATTTATAATTTAGAGGAGATAAGTGTTTTCAATCAGTATGAATACGTATTACATACAGAAAACTGCATCAAGCAAATGCTGAGATATGTGATCTCTCTGCACTGAAGAACATTTTTAGCAAGGATTGCACCTACAAAGGTGAACATTGTAACAATTCTTACTAACAATCACATTGTGATGTTTAACAAAGAGTAGGTAAAGTCCTATATTATTTATTAAATTCTAAATTTTATACATATATATTACATTTTATAAGGTTTTATATTCCGTTGCATCAGTATTATACTGGCATATTAATACACATAATATTAACCTGTGTTATGGACAAAGACGGGATGATGCTCTTGGCAATGCAAAGGAAGGGGACCATTTCTAAGCAGTCATCCCATGTGACTTGTGGCACAGTTAGCCCTGTAAACATGGGGTAGAGAGCAGCATCATTTATTTTGACCAAATAAACAACAGCTATGGACAGAAAAAAATATTAATTGAATTAAGGTTATGATTGCAACCTTTGGCATTTTCTGCTGCTTGATTTCTTAATTGGGTAAATAATTTACACATTGCTCCTTTGCTTAAGTAGTATTTCTAGATTTACTTTTGTGTTTATTTCTCTCTTTAAAGTGAAAAATCAGAGCAAAATCAGACAATAGGAAGAGTTTAAGTCTTTTGGCACTTACTTTAAAATTAGTTTTGGGAAAGCATGGTTTTGTTACACGGAGTCCACATAAAAAGCTACCACCTTCTTTTACTCAAACCTTCCAGGACATTTCACCTTCAGTCAGAGCCCAAATGGAAATTTTTAGAAAGAGTGAAAACTTTTGAGGTTACTGAGGTATGATAATATGGGAGAAGTGGGTAAGAAGATGTTGCAGTGTTCTTGGCCAATGTGTTCCAGCAGCTATGTCACCACCCCTGCACTTGCAAAATCAGTGTCTTTTTCTCCAGGGGTCTCTAGCTCCTCCTTTCCTTCCCCACTTATGTTTTTCTCTGTAGAAATATATGTTAGCTACAGGAGAAGTGAGAGTGACTTAGTGGAAAAGGAAGAGAGATGGATAGACACAACAAGAAAAAAACATGCAATAAGAAAATGGTGGAGCAGACTGTGAAAGACAGGCTGTGTGTATGTTCAGGCAAATACTGGGATGAGACAAAAATAGAGTGTTTAATGTATGCCTGTAGCAATTATCAATATTAATATGACCATGTAATGGCTGTTAGAAGCATAAAAGTAGGAGAATAAAAATTGATCACAGAATTTATACAAACCATTATGGTAATTTAAATCCTTATTATCAGTGTTTACTTATGTCTTAGAGTAGAATAATGAACCTCTAATTGCAGGCAAGCAATTTTATGTCAGAATAAATCAGAACTTGGGTGCTATGATACCATTTATCCAACAATACAGTTGATTTTGGCACTCATTCAACCTTCTTTATATTAAGTTTTAATTCAAAGCATCTGAAACACACTATTAATAAAGCTGTTAGATGCAACCTATATATGATGAAATGTTTCCCATCCTCTCTCTTTTTTTTTAGCTTCCGGCCCCACAGGCCTTATTTTTACAGTACAGATTCACTTTTTGATCTCTAAACTAAGAGAAACAAAGAACCAAACAAAATAAAACACACATACATCAAGAAGAGTTGATTTCTGAGGCTGGAAGGATGAAATGCAGAATGACTTCTTGTTCCAGGAATGTTTTGTTAAGCATTCAGAAATATTGTTTTCTGAAGGAACTATACAGATTAAATGTTCTGGAACAATGTCCCATCAAAATACCAATGACTGTATTTTAAAAACAGATCTTAATCTTAGTCTAGAATAGAGTAGGTATCTGTTTTAATTTATTCTAGTTTCAGTGTGTATTAAACAAGATGTGACCTGTCCTGAACTTATGGCTCATTTGAGAAGTAATATAAAATGTTATGAAAGGACAGACATGCTAATAGGATAGCAAAAAAACCACCCTGTGTCAACACTCAGACTCCTGAATGTCTCAGGCAGCCATTGCAAAGGTCTGTAGCCAGCGAACTCTCTTTCATGTGTTATTAGAAGACTGGGTCAAGCACCTAAAGTGGTCTGAGGAGTTTTTTTACCATTTAAAGCAGATTCTGTGGCCTTTGCAATGCACTAATGTGTTCATGGGGGATGTGCTGGCCAGCAAGCGAGATGTCATTGGGGGTGCACCAGTGTAGGGAGGTGGGCTTACTGTGCCTCTGTTTTTGCTAAATTTGCTTGAGCTAGAAGGTGGAAAACTGTAAGATAAATAACAAGGTTATTGGTGTTACAAGTCAAGGGAGGGCAATTATAGTGACCTTCCAGAAAATATCAGCCTAAGGAGAATGAAGTAGTTCTAGCTCTCTGTATGAGCATGAGAAATAAATCAGAGAAAAAATAGGCAGTTATCTAAAAAAATTCTCAGGTTCTGGTGGCCGAAACCCCACACTCAACTGCTACCTAGCCCCCACCTCAGACCCCTAAAAGTTATGCAGACGTTATAAATAAATTCTAAATGCTCTGGCAAGAACTGGGTACCAAAGACATGCACAGGTTATGTCTACTTTTCCTATCTGCCTCAGCTACTTATCTGGCCATCTACAATGCCTTATTACATATATGCATTTAAATTAGACTTTAAAAGAGCAGGAGACTCATACAGTAAAACCAAGACTGTAACATCCTGGTTTCAGGTTAAACAAAGGTTCACTCTATCACCAGTATCCTGGCACTGGCAGGAACTGGAGTGGAGTAGGGGAAGAATCAGAATGAACTTCAGGAAGTTCAGAACATTATCAGAGCATTAGCCTTCTTAATATATATATAAATATGTATATAAAAAATATATAAATGTCATTCTGATTTTTCAAATGCCAATAGTAATATTGCTCTAGTTCATATTTGACTGTTAATAAGCTAGCTCTAATTCAGACTATTACAAAATCTAAACAAGATCTAAATCTGAGTTGAATTATAATTAGGGTATAAACGCTTCAAGTTAAAAGAATTTCTTTACAAAGTAAAGTATACTAAAAATATAGTAAAAGTAAATATAAGTAAAATACAGTCTCTGCAGGTAACTTAATAATTAAAAGTCAAATTATTTGTCATGCTTTGTATATAGTTCAGCTAATGAATGGGTGGACTCAGAATAAGTCCATTTTTTCTAGGAAAAGACTTGCTGTACCATATTTTACCTAAGCTTTATTATTTTGTATATGTTTAATGCTAATTTGTAGTGAAACAGCTGCAAAATTAAGAAAGACTCTTATTTTGCACAACCTATTTAACAATTAAACCTCTCTAAAACTAAGATGATTAAATGAGCAGAGCCATCCTGTTTGTTTTGTTCATATCAATTTTACATAATTCTCTTACTGTTGTTATTTCCTGAGTTTATGCAGCCTTATATTCTTGATCTCTCTTTAAAGATGGTTTTTCTAATTAATACTGAAACACACATACCAGCCTATGCACACAGGCCTTCCTTAACAGATTTTTTAAGGCTGCAGGTTCAAGCACTCAAATGATATAGAAATACAAGAATCAAGTGTGCCAGTGAATTTCAGGTCCTGCCCCTTTTACAACTACGCATAATCTTTAATGACCTTTCCCGCTTCTCTGTTGCTGTGCCCACTAGGATTTTTTCAGAAGGTTGTTTTTGGGGGCAGTTCCTCCACCTCAAGAAGGCCACTGACAAAGTCCAAGATTTTATTTTAAAACATGAGGAGGTTTACAATCCTCACTTGTTGTTTTTTTTTTACTCATATTGATCATAGATTAGCAGTTGAAGCACAAAAATTATGCATAGTCATATAAAGTGTTTGCCTTGGCTTGTTATCCATCATGGAAAAATACAGCCCAAATAACACCAGACAAGGTTATTTGGCACTTGCATCACAGGTCAATAGTGGGAAGTATTGGACAGCATGATGCCTACAGGGGCTGGGAATGACTTGGTCTGCCTGAACTACAGTCCATAAAGACTACAAGAAGAGAGCGCTCAAATTTATTACTGGTTTAGTAGGATTTTCTTTTCCTTTTTCTTTATTTTTTTATTTTTCTATTTCTTTTTGGCAAACATTTTAAACCTAAAATTATCCTGAGAGTTGCAGTATTTACTTAGAAATCTGCAGAAGCAAAATAAAACAGTGCAGCTTTTTATTTTGAAACAAGTACTTAGTTTCAAAATTGACCAAAGCAATGTCAAGGAAGGGTTAAATAACCTCAGAATGAAATGATACAGTATAATTCAAATATCTAGTCTGGCTGGATTGCCACATCAGGCAAATATGCTTTCTGGATTAGGATGCTAGGGTCTCCATCTACCAGGTAGGGAAAAAAAGGAACCTTTTTAGTGATAATTTTTAGCACTGTTTCTAGTCATAGTTTTTCTGAGTTGAGCCTAGTACAACACTTCCTTGCAATCAATGTGTTTTGGCTTGTTGAAGAACAAAATGTAAACAGGTTCAGAAGAAAAGGGACTCATGGACTTGAGTAAGTCCATGACCTCATGGACTTGAATACCTGCCCTACCTTGTGGTTGTCATTAACTCATAGTTGTTGACCAAATGGATCATAAAAGTTTTGTTACAATTAATGACTGAATTATAAAATCCAGAGACACATCTGCTGAATTAATTGGCGACAGTTAACTTGACTATGGTTATTCAGGCTTTCTTGTGAAATATGAGATGACCTATTTTACTTGTCAGTCTCAAAATAATGATATTCAAATTGGGAAGAAATTAAAATACTTAAAACATAAATTATAAGTATTCCTAATTACTGTAGTTATAGGAATCTTCAGGATTTTGCCTGAAAAAGCCAATTAAGGCACAGAGAATGGAAAAAACCAACGAAAATATTCAATTTAATATGTGGAATTGAGTTTATAGTTTGCAGTTCAAAAATATCTCTGTTTGGGAAAGCATGAAAACATATGCTTGATTAGCACTTCCTTGAATCAGGGGCATGGTAAAGCACAAAAAATATCAACCTTAAAAATATATTAAAACACAATTAAGGTTATACCCTATTTCTAAAGGAAATTGCAAGCTGACTTCAAAAGAACTGAGGATATTTCAAGGAAGTTCCAATTTCTCATAATACTTAGGCATTACATTATAAGTTGCATAAGAAAAGGAAAAGTTACCTAAAACCTCACTCTACATTCTACATTCTAGAGTATGCATACTCTACTTTCCTGTTCGCAATGTATTCAGTGAAATTGGTTTATTTGCATTTTAAGAGTTTTCAGCAACTTACTAGGTTTGTGGTTTAAAAATTTTCTCACCACTATTTCTAGGATCCCATTTTATTGGTGAGTATTTGAAAAATTGTATTTTGCTGTCATCTGAAATTGCAGAGAAAATATCAATTGCAATCACCTCAAAGAGAGTTCAATGAAGTATATGCAAATTTCTAATACTGACTAAGGAGTTGAAACTGATAAAGTTTTTCCACATAAAGCAAATATTTTGTTTCATTAGAAAGAAATTTATTTCTTTATTCCATACCATAAAACTTGTTCAAAATCTTCTGCATGTGGCTGTTTCTATGAATAAATCACAGAATCATCAAATCAATCATAGAATCATAGTATCATAGAACCATAGAATGGTTTAGGTTGGAATGGATGTTTAAAGGACCTTAAATTTTAGCTAACTGACCTTGTTGCAAAAGGAAAGAAAACTGAGTGAGAAAATGAAAGCTATAAATTTCAGAGCAGATGAGGAAGCATAGATACCATTTCAAGACACAATGTTGTAAAGTACCAAAAAAATATGAATTCCTCATGAAAATTAAGATGGAGATCTGGTAACATAGTTCCTGACTGAGCTAATACCTGTAACTTAACTGCTGTGAAATGTTGGTGTGTGTTACAAAGCCACTTATTTCACAGAATGTTACAAAGCCACTTATTTCACAGAATCATAGAACAGTTAGGGTTGGAAATGACCTAAAGACCATCTAGTTCCAACCCCCTGCCATGGGCAGGGGCACCTCACACTAAACCATGTCACTGAAGGCTCTGTTGAACCTCGCCTTGAACACTGCCACAGATGGAGCATTCACAGCTTCCCTGGACAACCCATTCCAGTGCCTCACCACCCCAACAGGAAAGAATTTCTTCCTTATATCCAATCTAAACTTCCCCTGTTTAAGTTTTAACCCGTTACCCCTTGTCCTATCACTACAGTCCCTAATGAAGAGTCCCTCCCCGGCATCCCTATAGGCCCCCTTCAGATAGTGAAAGGCTGCTATGAGGTCTCCACACAGCCTTCTCTTCTCCAGGCTGAACACGCCCAACTTTCTCAGCCTGTCTTCATACAGGAGGTGCTCCAGTCCCCTGATCATCCTCGTGGGCCTCCTCTGGACTTGTTCCAACAGTTCCATGTCCCTTATACAATTTCAAAATTGTATAAAGAGGAATTAACTTTTTTCAGTGCCTATAGAATAGATTCATAGTTCCAGGTTCAAAAGTGCCAGGTATGAAACATTTTCTGCTGAGGAAATGTTAAGTGTGTTGTTCTTTTAAAATCTCCTCTCATGTTCACTAGCATATACATGGATAACCTTAGTTTTCTTTTATCTTTTGGACTCCTGTGCTTTGATATAAGGAGTGCGGTCATTGGGATGCCTACAGGAAGAGGAAGAAGAATCTTTAGCAAATGGACGCACATATTGCCATTGAGGGGTTATGCACGTTGCTTGCATTTTAAGTACTTGAAATTACTTAACGCCTTATCTATACCCTGCTTTGTAACCGTTAGTGTTTAAGAGATAAGTATGATTTTAATCTTCAGTTAAACCACACCATTCATCCTTAATTTCTATTCAGCTCAAGGTTAATAAAATTTTCTTGTCATGTCAAGGAACAAAACAGGACTGACTTGCTTCTTAGAAGAATTGAGGACTTCAGATAGTGAATTAGAAAAGTAAAAGCTCAGCAATTTTTTCAAGTTTCATTCTCATGAATCCCCTCCCTCTCTGTATTGATGTGTCGATATGTATAAAAGGAGAGAGTA